AAAAAAATTTTTTTACTAAAGTAGTAATTTACCAAGTACCTATTTGGTAATTGTCTTGGAAAAAAACTTATCCTTTAAAGTCCCACATACTTCTCAGATCAAGAGTCAGTGACCTCTTTTGCGTTATTTCACTCTGTTTCACAACCAGGGCAATATCTGTTTAGGAGTAATAATTCTTATTGCAGTTTTTCAAACATCATTCTCTCCTTAGCCCAGTTTCAGCACCGAGAGAGATGTTTTCTATTTGGATAACATATTGTTAAGAAACACCCATTCAAGAAGACACACATGACAAACATGGGGGAACAGGTGAAACCGGTCATGCAGCAAACAGAGTTGTGCTACTTTTAACAGCTTGAAATACACAAAAGGAAAGTTGAGTAAAAAAATGTACCACTGCCCTGTGTGATATGATGTGTGTCTTGCAATTGCAATAAATCCTATTGATCATTTCACAGAGTACTTTTTATTCAGGAATCACGTGTTTCTGTCTAGGTTAAAAAAAAAGATTTCCATGACAGTAATGACATGGTAATTAGGGACTCTATTTTTGTATAGTATGTGGTCATTTAGTTAGTAATTTGTTGGTAAATGCTGTGCAATTGATGTACTAATACACTGTAAATTATTGAAATGATCACTAAATTAGTTTATTTACATAGCAATGTTTTATGTATTCACTTTATAATAACATGGTAATTAGGTGACTAAAATAAAATTGGTAAATTATTGGAAAATAGTGGGTACGTGAGATGTTATTGAACTGTAATCCTGATAAAATTACCCACTTAATTTGTTTAATTACATAGTATTATATATGCTCTTACTAAGTAATTGCATAGTAAATAGTTGTTACTTACATGTAAATGTTGGGTAATAGCATGGTAATCAGGGGACTGTAAAAGAAAGTGTTACCTGCATCTCTTTCAGGTTTGTCTGCGTGGCTCCAGAAACATTTGCTCCTTGCTCTTTTTATTTTTGCCTATCCCATTTTCAGGACCACCTCCACCCACCCAATTTAGAATGGACAAATTTTGTTTTGTAGGGATGTCTGAAGTAGAAAATGTCACATTCTGAAGTTTTTGGTGTCTGGTTTACTGTTCCCATGTTTATCAGTAGATTTTAGATACTTTTTAACTTTACCCCCAAGGTTGTTTTTTGTTTTGTTTTGTTTTTTTATTGTATTCACATTCTTCTGAATGGCTGATCATAAGGGTAAACTTAACCATGCTGCTTTTCATGTCTATTAATATGCACTTGGACCAAGTTGAACATATTTATTTATCACTATGGTTACAGCTAATAAGATTTATGTATGTCACAAAATACTACACTGCCTTAACACTGAGATGTCTCACATGTAAAGCAGTGCATAGATCAAAAGGATATTTTATCTTTTGAAGTTTCCTTTTGCTGTTTTGACAAATAGCCAAACAAAAGTAGAAAGAAATTGAGATGAGTGTACAGCTGAGGGGCATGAGAACAAAGAAGAGTGGATTTATTCGAGCCCCCATTGTGGTGCATATACAGGCACACAGATGGTCTGATTGTGTTATTTAGCTGAGTGTCTCACCTGGGCATTCAAATACCCCATGGTCTGATTAGAAGAGAAAAGTAACAAAGAAAACAAATAGCAGGATAATAAGGGACCTCAGTGAAAGCATCAGATCATACTTTTCTTATCATTAGATTGGTTTATTATCCTTTGAATACGTTGAAGGAAAATCAGTAATTTTTAGTCTAAACCATAGGTGGAAACCCCCCTCTGGTGAGGGGCAGAATCCCACAATTTAGAAACATTGACTGARGTGTAGCCATTTCTTGTTTTTTGAAGTAAGTTGGCTGTTGCAGCCATCTTAAATTGGACTGACTTTAAAAGTTTAGCTGTTGTAGATCATGGTGGGTAGTAATGTAATACATAAAGTACTGTACTTAAAGGGCCAATATTATGTGTTTCGCAGGCATATATTTAAATACTATACCATAATAAAGTATATATGTCACCTTTAGCTGTTATTAAAATGCTGTTTTTATGTTTAAATAGAAAAAAACTTATCTTCTCATCACTTCCTCTTCTAAACACCTTGAAATTGGTCTCTGTCTCTTTAAGAACCTCCTTCTGCTTCTGTTCCGTCCCGTTCGGTGCGCGTGCGCTATGATGCAGTTTACTTGGCATCTGAAAATACATTTCCTCAAAGGTATTTTTAATCTGAAAAGAGT